TGCCTGGCCACGAGCACTCCCTGAGAGCGAGCTGTTCAGAAGCTTGAGCGCTTCTTGACTTCTCCCCGTGTCTCTAATTTCTTGCTGTGTCTTCTCGTCTGACATTTTGCCCAGCTGCGGCCTGTAGTCATCTGCTTTGAGGCAGCTGTGCTATAACACAGCTGTATGCATTATGCTATATATACTGCCTGTGCAGCTGACACTGTGTTTAGCAAGGCAATGCAAACAGAATCATAATCGTACTATCAACATCATAATTTATCCTCTATGAGGTTACACAGCCTAGAAATCTACTACTGCTCCACAAGAGAGAATGTGGGATTCATATAACCACCAACTTAAAAATGTCTTGAATATGCTATCTGTTTGTATCCAAGCTGTCTTTTCCTCCTCCAGAGGTCATGTTTTTACAACAGTATCTTGGATCCCTGTTGACTTGGTGATTGGATAACATTCCAGAAGTATTAGAAGATTCACTTGTGGGTCATCTGGACTTTATACATGTTTTTTTTTTTCAGAAATGAGGGTGGTCTGGAGCAATCTCTGTTGCTTAGATCAAAACCTACTGGCGAGCTTAACAATGCTTAACAGTTCACAATATCTACACCACCTGTGTGCGTTCTCAGAAGCTCTGCTTGATCCAAAGAGCATCAAGTATCTTTAGATGTCTAATCTTTCCAAAGTTTTCACTTTATAGAATGTAAAAGAAGAAAACTTTGACTTCTATTCCCCTAAATACTTCACAGTGTGTTACTTTTACTGTTAAGAGACACTCATGGGATCATCTCCACCCAGCTTTGCTTAGTTCATATAAGAATATATTTGCATTTGCCAAAGAATGATACAGGCAAGGAGAAATGTGAGCAAAGGCAGCCTATGATCAATATTTATCTAAAGCATCTGGATGGAAAATCATCCCAGCATCCTTTTGCACGTCTTGTCCCCCAAAGACAGATGTTGTGTGTTTTCAAGCACTAAGTCTGACTGAAATTTTTAACCGATGATAGTCAGTTAAGTGTGATTTTTAGAACTAAGAATGGCCAGTGCAGCCTTTCAAGGATAGTATTGTGTGCAGTAGTTTTTACTATATACCTTTTCATTTTGGGGGGAAGAGAATATCTCAAAGCGTAAAACTTTTTTCATAAGATGCGTTTTGCTGATTCATGAGTCAGTTTTGATTTAGATTGTGAAGGCAGGAGATCAGACAAAAAAATTCTGTAAAGATTTGTTTTTTATTGGCAACAGATGATTGTGAGACTAAATGATCTAGTATGTGCTGTCATTCTGAGTTGAACCGTCCAAAGTCAGATCTCGACCATTACAAGACAAAACATTTCTTAGGCACTTAACACAACTGTGGCTTTGGGTAACACCAGTGGGAGAGGCGTTTATAAGAAGACAATAAACCGGGTCTCACGGGAATTATAGGGTGGTTAAGGGTGTGGCGCCTATTCTCTAAAACTCTGTGAAAAACAGCAAGTGTGCCACATGACAACCCTCACTCCTCAATTCTCACCATGCCACTCTCTCGCCTTCAAAATAATTTACAGTCATGTGAAAGGGAAAGTAAACTCTCTTTCAGATCTAACATTTTTACTTATAAGGACATCATCATTTTTATTTAAATCACACAGTTCTTATCAGGTCTTAAAATAAGGCTAACACAACCTCAGATTATCAACAGCACGTTGATCTTCAAAGGGGTTGCTGCCCCCACTAAGGTAAGGTCATACAAAATTCAACAGGTTTATCTCAGTCTGCAATAAAAATAAAAGTGCTGACTGAGATGAAAGGGCCAAATATATATTTTTTGTCATTTTTAATCAGAAATTATTTTAAATTTACGGGTAATAAAGGACACAAACAAACAAACAGTCCCAGAGTAAGAGAGAGTTGGCCACCATAATCAGGGTCAGTGTCAGCTTCTTGTAAGAGAAAACAAACAGCTACCCATTCTTTCTGCCTTTAATTAACATTGTTTCAATATTTCAGTTCGAACATGAACACTGTATTCTAGTTCGTACAAATTCCTCCCTCTTTTAAGTGTCTCTTCTGTCATCTACCAAAAAAAAATCTGGTTTTGTTGTTCCTTTTTTAAAAAAAATTAGAGTTTGGAGACAACTCAGCCACAACATTAAAAACATCTGCCCAATGAAACGTTTGCAGCTCTGACCTCCACATTCAACCAAAAACTGTGACACTCTGATTTGGTTTCAGGTGCCAATCCTTTCAGTCCTGAAGACTGCAAAGTAGAGCCTCCATAGATTTAGTATGTTTTCTTTACTCAGCAGCAATGTTCTAGTCGAGTGTATATAAATAACATTTAGCCCTTGTGAATGCAATGATTCCCAACAGAATCACGTCCTTTGCCAGGCCCGTGCTGTACATACATCCAATTTTCCACATGATAGAAAAAGAAAACCAAATGACCATCAATCTTCTTCCATTGATTTTTGGTGTAGAAGACACACTCGTGGGCCCCATCACAGCCACTACTGGCATTAGACAGAGGCGGGAGCCATGGCAGGACTTTTAACTCATGTGGGAGAGAAGGTGTCAGGAAGCAGGTGGAAACAGTTAAGTAGTGGTGTCGTAAAAACTGGCTTTGAAAACTCCAGGTATGATTTTCAGGACCATGTGCAGTTTGAGAACCTGAAATCATTTCAATGGAGGCAGTAGGAATCCAGGAGGTCATATTTCAGGGTTCATTATGGGAAACTGGCCGGTCTGTTCCAAATGAATAGCAGGAAATGCAAAGCATGGTTTAACACTTTACACTTCAGAAACTCTTCTATGCAATCAGACCTCATTTTCACACATTTCTTTATCACTGCTTTAACACTTTCTTTAAAACAATGTTAACAACTTAACACAGATACCCTGACGCAGATGTTTAACAATCACAATTTAATCATTATCAAATTGCTTACCCTGTTTTCATACTTCCAAAGCATGAAATTAATGTTCACATGCTCTCAAAATATCTCGGCCCTTGGTAGGTGTCTTTCTAGGAGGATAATAACTGTTATTCAAGTGTCAGTAGCTGTGATACTGTCGGCAACTGGTGTTTACTCTCTGTATCCTGTGTCTTAACAAGTCTGACTTTCTATCATGACTTCTAATGCAGCTTACATTGGTGATTTAAGGCTAAACTGTAAACTGATGCTTCAGCACAACTTTAATCATATAACCGGACAAAAAAAAAAAAAAAAGATTTGCAAACCGTCCACTGACCACATCGTCTTGGTCTAAAGGGCGTTTTCTGAGCAAAAGTCTGCTCTCTCACTTAACACTGCAGTTAGAATCATGAGAGCTCATCGGCAACCACACACCGTGAGTAAGTGACCTCATAGAATTACATCAAAATATATATATCCAAGCAGTGCACAACAAAACACAGCTGGAGTTACTATGCAAATACAGGGGGAACTAAAACTGTGCTGATTATGAGAGGGATCCAGCTAAATTAAACTGTGAGCGACTGAAAACCATCGCGCCACACGTTGGTTTTTGTTGCAGCCGCACTTGGAAAAACAGAACACACGCATTTAAAAAGACGGCAGCTCTAATTTTGATTTGTGAAACGCAGACACACTTGCACACCCATGTCACAAACACCAGCAAACCCGTCTGTGGGTGGTGCAGGCATTACCACACAGTGGTACAGTAGGAGTGTACTGTACATCAATGCCTCATGTCAACAGATGTTTTTAATGACCATAAGGCTTATTTCAGCTGAAGTCTGAGCAAAGGGTAGAAAAATAAAGAGTGTAAAAAGAGCTGTGATGAACACAATATCAACAGCGTCACAGGAATATACAATTTAACTTTAGCTCCACTCAGTCCAGATCATTAAGAGAAAAATTCAGAGAAAAACGACTGTTTTAAATGTATTTATGTCTGCCTTGTCATAGAAACCATAGGTCTGTCATCCATAGAACTGTTTCTGCCCAATACGAAAAGTTGTATAATTGGGTATGGGCAACTATTTGATTGGCTGTGTGCCATTGGCTCACGTGTCAATATCTCCAAATGAAAGGGAAAGCAATGTTCCTTTTCTGGAATTGGCATCCTCTACCTCTACTAGGTCTTTCATTACGCTCTCTGTTGGGGGGTTGACTATCCTCTGTGGCTTTCCTGGCTTGTTCCAAGCTTTGCTGACTCTTCTCTCTCGCAAGCTCATGTAGACAGAAGCTAAAACTAAGGTGCCTGTGCAGTAATAGAAAAACATCAGCGCAAGGTTAAAGGGAAAAGAAAACATCCAGCTCTAAGGATGCAGATTTAAAACCTGGCTGGATCTTTATAAGGGAGTACTCACTATGGAGGCTTGAATTACCTCTTCCCTCAAAATGTGACATATCATCCGTCTAAGACATCAAGAAAACAAGAGACAGCAGGAAACAGGGAAATCTAGGTCATGATTTAATATCAGAGGGAAAAAGCGTTTCAGTAGCTTTAAAACAGAAACGATGGTCCGTTTTAGGTTTAGTAGTGCCTGGACTAAGCAGGCAAACAAATAAGCTCCCAAACTGCTGTCCGAATGGTTCCAGTTAAGAATTCAAACTACCAAGAAGAAGGGTGTCTGCAAAACAAAAGCATATTTCCTTTTATGACCTCCCTGAGAATTTACAGCTACTGACCTGAAATGAATAACTGGCTCTGAAATAGATTTACTGTGTCTGCAGTTTATTTTCAATCAATGCCACAGCAGGTGCGGCATTCCCCGGCCTGTCATTTTCATCTCAGGTTTTAACGGGCAACTTTTTTCCTCCTTAATTTAGAGGTTTCATCATCTGGAATTTTCTTGACCATCAAAAGTTCTCTGTTTCAGCTAATAGAGAGAAGATGATGGATGAATGACAGGGAATTGTGCCTTCCCAAAAGCTCTTTTGACTGGAGAAGATTAAAAAGTGGGAATTGAGGAAAATTAGATTGCAAGTATCACATGCACCTGTTTTGTATAATGACTTTTTTATTATAAGTGACTGGTGTATTTCACCTCACCACATGGACTTTTGGATACATACCTGAGACATGCTTATGTTTGTGTAAGAGCTTTGCACAGAGTGAAATTCTTCGATGGGAATGAGAAGACGAATTTTGGAGTCAATCTCCATCAGCTGCTCGAGATCAGCCGGTTCTGGGGTGTAACCATGGGCTGTCAGGGCTGACACAACTCTCATGGCCTCCTGGAAGACAGGCATAAGTAGCATATGTCATGCTCCACAGGGTATAAGTCCGCTTTTCTCTGTGGCAACTGAAACAAAGGTTTGATAAACAGAATCGATACACTGCTTGGAAGGCAATATCATGACAGTGATGTCTGAATAGGGAAGAGCTTGGCTTTTGGTTTTACAGTTCTTGACAAGTGTGACATTTTTTTACGACTGCTTTTTCCTCATGGTGACTCTATAGCAGTGCTACTCATATTAAAACTTATGGAGAGTGGTGGATGGTGAGCTCATTACAGTACACGATGAGACAATAATTGTAATATTAATATCATGCCAAGAAGGTCGTAACACAAAGAAGGCAGCTGCAGCCCTGTCCACTGGTAATGGGTCCTAAGGGCTGAACACTGGAGCTCAATGTAAATCCAAAATGCAAAAACATAAGACCTACATATTCTGTCATGGATTTAGCCTCCACGTGAAAATGTTTTATGTTGTTTTAAGCTCTGCAGTGATTCATTTGGATGTGGCACATCTCAGTTATAGACACAAGCCAGCCTTTCTGCTCTCATATAGGTTTTACAGCTTTCCCCCCAAAAATTTGATACATTAACTACAAAATATCCACCAAAGGATGATTGAAACCTGACATTGCTTGCTATGTGGTACGTGTAGTCATATACAAGACATAAAACATAGCGTAAGGAATTAGTTTAACTTTGTCCTCTGCTGAATCGATCCTGATGGTCACATCATTTTAACAGAGTTAATATTAAAGGAAACTCCAAATGTGTACACAATTCATTGAACGATATCTGGATGGAATCACAAACTAACTGATTGAACGTTTAACCCATTGCATGAATTGTGCATAAATAGCAGTCTTCTTGGATAATTTACCTCTTTATTTTTAACTAAAGGTTAGATGGTGACATAAATCTAACTTTCACGTCCTTATCTAACTTAAAAGCACAAGACAGAGTGGCTTTTGGGGGGGCCTCAATCAGACTCAAACTAACAATTTCCTCCATTTTCAACTTAGAAATTGAGCTAAGATGATTGTTTTGGTTGTGGTGTCATGACTCCAGCATGAATCTTTTTGTTTGATTTTTATGGAAGAGAGTATTAAGCAGTGAGACTTTTTATAGTAAACAAAGATAATTAAGCCATAGTTGTATTATATGGAGGAAAACAATGAAGGCTATTTATACAGCTGCAGCATTATTTGAACAATTCAGGATAACTTTGAGCGTGTTTACTGAGCTTTTTTTCCAAGATTGAGAACAGTTCTGCGACTACTGACTGCTACTGATTTAGTGTTTCAGGTTACCACAACTACACAGTGCAGAGGTTGCTAGGAAGAGAGTCTGTGACTTGAAAAAAAGAACTGTGCAAGGTAAACAGCAGCTCTTGGTCTATGTGTCCCAGGGGATTCTGCCAAGAACCGCGTGAAGTCCTAAGAACTGAAGACACCACCATGCCAAAGTCCTGGTGTCATAAATAATCTGCTCACTGCATCATGACCATTCATAACAACACGAATTCTTCTTCCAGCCAATAAAAGAAACCCAAAGCATCTGCACTCTCCTTAGTTTAGTATCTGCCACCATAATCACTGCAGTATTGTTCTAAAAGTCAAGGCAGACATCATAAAAAGAGCAGCAAGACATTAAAAAAGAAAAACCTGGCAGGCTGTTCTACCCATGCAGAGCTGCCGGGGTCAACTTAAATGGAACCGTATGTTAAATGTAAGTATGGGTTTTTGTCCTGCTTTCAAACAGGCTTCATCCCATCTGTCTTCAAACTGCCTGCACACCTGCCAAATAAGTTATTAAGGCAAATTAAATGTGAAAATAAAAACATGTGAAGTTGGGATGGTGTTTGAATGGATACACAGAGTGCCCCAGGTGGCAAGGTCTCAGAAGAATCATCAGAGGAAAACAAAAGGTCTCATTCTTCTTGCCTTAAGCCCCATGACCACAGCCGTGCAACGAGAGCTGCTTCAGCTAATTGTATGACTATATGAAAGCTGCCGGATTCTGAATTTTGCTGAAACACGGTACAGGGAATTTCTATGGAAACAAACTAATCCACAACTTCAGCCATTCCAGGCAAAATGCACATGGGAAGGGACATCTGGTTCATAATGTTAAGTTGTTAGAGGAGTCAGAATCCTCTGCCCAGAGACCATCTCAGCTGCCAGACACTCATCAAAACATAAATATTTGACCAATACAATTTCATGAGTTGTTCTGGGAGCCAAAGGCTGCCTAATTTATAGAGCGAAAGGTTTGAAAACAACATTTATGAAAGAATGAAATATAAGAATGTGACTAAACTCTGAAGACACCACTACCAGCTATGTATGGTAGTACATATGTATGTATGGTAAATGTAAGTTTTACATATTTTACATATTGGCATCAGAAGCAATCATCTTCTGCAGTGTTGCTCCCCAATAAAAAGACAGACCGTTAGAGCTACCTTGTCATCTTCCCCTCTGGCACCGCCATCTTCCTCTTCATCTATTTCTCGAAGGAGCTCAGCCAGACGCTCTTTCTCTACATAGGTCAAAAACACTTGACCCTCCTCACAACTTACTGACTATTGTAGGATAAAACAATGGGAAAAGAAGAATAGAAAAGTATAATCAGAACTGGAAAATAAACAGTTAAGAAAATAGGTTGTGCACTCAGTCACGCCCTGCATTTTTCACAGTGTGGACTCTGACATACCTCAATGTTTCTTTTGATGAAGTCCTTTGGCATATTCTTGCTTTTTGAAGTGACACATTGGCTGCTTTTAAATTGTTTGTCCCCAACATCTTCAACACTTACCTCAAATGATTCAGTCACACTCACAGGCCTCTTTTCTTCTATAGGGAAAAAGGTCTGCATAACATTTAGTCATTCACTGATTTTTACAGAGACAATATTATCATTATGCATACACCAGCTGTCCATATTACTTTGCAACAGACTGAAATATTTTCTAAAAATGTTTTTAAAAAAATGTTTTAAGGCTAAAAAATGCAACCTAAAAATGCTGCAAAATGCAGCAAAATACTGCGTGATGCGGCTGGGATAATCGTACTACAATTTAGTGTCTCTAGCTAAAGCTCTGGATGCCTCATGATTCCCGACCATGCATTTGATGGAAAATAACATATTTTTGTTTTTTCTCCTGGGATTAACAACAAAGAAGTAGTAAAATTCTTATCAGGAAAATTTTCATAAGTCAAACAGTCGAATAACCTGAGGGTTTATGTCCGTAAATCTGCTGCAGGACCTCATTTGTTCACTCATCTCTGCAGCAACAGGAAATCAGCGACTACAGGTTCCCTTAGCTTATGCTGCCATCAGGTGCACAATCTTGGCATCACATGTGAGATCATATATTTTCTTTGATATTGTTTCAGGAAAAGCTCACTTTGCTCCCAACATTGGTCGTCTCCAGCTTGTTCACGATAAGGAACTTGTGTTTCAAACACAGAGGTGAAGTCCTTCTCCTCTTCTTTTTCTCCTTTAAGACAACAAAAACATTTTTTTTATGTCTGACAGTGATTACATGAACTACACTTTTCAATACTATTGCTGATTCATAAAATATTAATATACTTTACATACCAGTGAGTGCCTCCAAAGCCAAGAATAGCTTTGTGTTCAAAGTTTCTTGAGCACATTCAGAGTGGCCTTCAAGATTATTCTAAAGCAGATGGAATATGCATGATATCATTAGACTTAGGCTTAGACTACCTTTATTGTCATTGTGCACACAGTGAATTTGACAATGAAATTTTATTGCTTGGCAACCAGGTACAGCAAGGTCTTTATGTAAGTTAGGTAATAATTACTGTGGATATTTTTTTAAAACATAAACTGTATAAATAACAAAAAAAGTTATTTTTGTGAAATAAGTAATATGGAATTAGTTATTCAAGTGATTGATTACCTTTTTGAATAAAGCATATTTATGAGAAGTGAATACTGATGATTGTGTTTACCTTGAGATCTTGCCAGAGTTTTGCTTGAAGGTCTCTCCTTTGACGCTGGATTTCTTTTTCCTTGCACATTTTTGCATTCAGAATCTCATCAAGTCGTCTCATTTCCTCAAAGGCTCTCTGTAACTCGGCAGCCCCATTCTCATCCTCAGAAATCACCGAGTGAGACTGATCTGAAATACCCAGTTCTACTGTGTGACACACTGAAGTAACTTCATATGAGCATCAGTTTTTGTATAAGCATCCTACGGTGTTACCTCCGTCAGGTCCTGAGTCTGAGGGCTGTGCTGTAGTTTCTCCAGGACAGTTCTGTGTCAATGGGAGATTGTCTCCTTAAAAGGCTGGAAATCGTTTAATGTTGCTCTGTAGTTATTACATTTAACATTTGTTCAGTTACCTGGATATTTGATGCCTCGGTGGTCAAAACAACCAGCTCAAACGGGGCTGGGGGACAAACTCTGTCACTAAGAAGCGAGGACAGGCTGGACCCGCGGCTCCGAGTCTGTTCCCTCGATGCGGGTCGGGATATGTCATCTAAACTACCTTTAATAATTTCCATAGCAAGCGAAAAACAAAATACTTTTAATCACTTCTTCGCCCCTGCAAGGCCACTTGTCGACATTTTTCCGCCAAATGTTTGGTAACTACGGACGCAAACGACCCCGGATGTTGTAACCATGGACTTTTGTTACTATGGGTACCGAATGAAAGTCGAGGCACCCCAGCTGATGCCCGAAAGAACTAGCTAGCGTAGCGGGTCTAGCTAGGAGGCGTCCAGCGGTTTCCCTCTGCAGACCCGGTGGAATTATTTTTTTTCCGTGGTGAATTGTACACCATTGTTGTAGCGAGGATATTGTTACCAAATGTCTGCAGCGTAAGGTGTTGACGGTGGAGGTTCAAAGGCCGTATTTCCTCTGGTACGTTGTGATCTATTTCAATGACTAGTTAGCGTGAGCGAGCTAGGAATATTAGTGATAATTACGTACGCCCATTATAGCGTATCAGTCAAAGTCAGCGACTATATGCTTTCTGTTATGTTAATATTCTGCAGGTAGGAGCCTGGATGCTAGCATCTTAGCATCTACGCTGTGTATCTTTTGTTTGGGCCTTACTCCCCGTTTCGGGGGAGATGCTGGAATGGGTGTGTAACCGGTCAGTCGGAACCATTGAAATGTTGAACGTTTCACATTACTTTACGGCGAAACCTTTAATGGACCGTTCGCGTCGTTGCCTATTGGAGCCCGAGCGGTCAAATTTGCACCGCTGTCATTGTTTAGTAGCCTCGGCTCTCTCACAGAAGCCCCACAATCCCACCCATATTTCACTGGCAGCTGCCCAAGCTCTGCAGTGTACCTGCAGCAGGCAGGTGGCAGCCCGCGGAGGCCCCACGGAGAGAGAGCTCCCTTTGTTTACCTTTTCCTCCATTGTCCAACCGTGTTACAGGTCGCATTGACTCTGAAGGAGAAGATGTGCAATGGAATGATAGAGTCCATTTCAAACGCCTTGTGGACCCACACCTCCACCTCTAAACGGTGCTTTTTGCTGGTGCTGATACTGAATGGAGTGTCCACTGGGCAGGGGTCAGGTAAGAGACAGAACGCACAGCTGTGCACGATTATGTGCAATTAGTTGTTCACTATTAATTGATTGCAGTTGTCAAACAGCTGTGATGAAATAACCATGTCAGTAAAGTGTAAGCGGGAAGTGCCACTGATATGTAATCATAACAGGCTTGGTCATATAACCTTTAAATGATAAATAATTTCATGTTCTATTACGTGCCAATGTTTGAGTTTAATCTGAATATTTGTTAATTAATACTTGTGTTACAAAATGGTAGTTATAGCAACACCTACTAAAAACGGAAGATTTAGAGTTTAGCAAATGCATACAATTTTATTTTATTTATAAAATATGCATTTTCCAAGGTCATCATTTTCCCTTTATTGTTGAATGAAATAACCTAACAAAAACACTAGTAGTGAAAACGGTAAATCAGTGCAATGTCTGGAAAAGTGTGTCTTACTTGCAAATTTAAAGTACATAAAAAAATATATATATTAGTTTTGTGTTATATGATCGTTTTATATTCGAGCTGCTGGAGTTTATGTTTGTCATACAGGTGTTAAAGTCAAAGTATGTCTTAATTTCATTTAATTATTTAGTGCCTGGTTACCATAGGTCCCTTTTTGGCCTTATTAAGTCTTTACTTTAACTTGCAACATATGTCAGTCTTGCGTCAAAATATTTGTTGTTACAATTCTTGCTAAAAACTTTGCAGCCTCACAGAATTACTTCATCTATGGGCCCTTTTTTCCCAGGATGTGTGAGGCCATACATGGTCCAGAACAGCTGGGTAAACCTCACAGAGACCAACAGGGGCTCGTTCCCTGTGGGCACAGTGCTGCAGTACAGCTGTGACCCTGGTTACCTGCCAGATGGACCCAGCATCCTCACCTGCACCACACTGGGACGGTGGTCCTCCGAACCTCCTCAGTGCATTCGCAGTGGTGGTAAGACCATCTGTTGAGTTATTCAAAATAATTTTTCTTGCAAGCGAAAAGCCTTTAATTTATTTATCTTAGCTATGAATTCTAAAATGATTTCCAGAATTTCCCCATAGGGATCAATAAAGTATTCTGATTCTAATTTTGACAAAAAGGGTTGTAATTTTCTTTTCCTTCTCTTCAGTTTTTATCTTTGCTGACAAATGAGCAATTCATAAAGCCGGACTGACACTTTTCATGTTGTGCTTGTTTTTTTCTTTTGCTGTTGTTTTTGTTATTAGCGTGTCTACCCCTCTCTAAACCTGAGAACGGAGGCTACACCTGCCACCCCTCCCCCTGTCGACTGTTTTCCCACGGCACTATTATCGAGTTCCTGTGCAATGAGGGCTTCGCTCTCAATGGAGACTACCCCTACCTAACATGTCAGGATGGACAGTGGGACGGCCCCGTGGAGATCAGTTGTGTAAGCAAAGGTCGGTGAATCCTGGATATGTCAGCTTAAAAAGTCCACCTGTTTTATTTTTTATTTATTTATTAAAATGATCATATGAATAAATTCAGTTCAGTTTTTTTTTTTCATCTACTATCAACTCACAGCAAAGCATCAACTCAGCACACTTTACAAGGAGAAATAAAGTAACCTTTTTTTCTTTTTTAAACTATTATCTCCCCTTCAGGCTGTATAAGACCCACCATGGTGCAGCATGGTTCGACTAATCTTACAGACACCAACGGAAGCTTGTTCCCAGTGGGCACGGTACTGCAGTACAGCTGCGACCCTGGTTACATGCTAGCTGGACGCAGCATCCTCACCTGCACCACAGTGGGAGACTGGTCATCTTCACCTCCTCGCTGCACACGCAGTGACGGTAGAGAAAACTTCTGTTCTGCATTCAGAAGCCTGTGTCATTCTAAATCATTTGAAATTGAATTTGAACACATTCATGGTTGCAGAAGTTGATGCACAAAGATGAGACGTAATAGGCACTTAATCCCTACTGTGTTATTATTTTTCAACCAACAGTATGCCAGCCTCCTTACACACCAGAAAATGGGGGTTATACTTGCCATCCCTCCCCGTGCAGGCGCTTTTCACATGGCTCCGTGATACAGTATTTCTGTGACGAAGGTTACGTTCTGAAGGGAGACTATAAGTTCCGCACCTGTCACTTTGGGAAATGGGACAACCTAATGCCAGTCAGCTGCGTCATTGAACAGGGTAAAGTTACATCAACTAAGATTCAGTAAAATGTCACTGTATAAAGGATCTAAACAGAAAAGCTTAAAGACAGTGACCTTTTGATGTACAGTTTGTTAACTAACTCACTCAAGCCCATCCCCGTTAATTATAGTCATTTTTCTCTCTTTTCTCCGTTTTAAAGGTTGTGTAAGACCCTCTGTGGTGCAGCATGGCTCAACCAATCTGACAGACACCAACAAGAGCTTGTTCCCAGTGGGGACGGCACTGGAGTACAGCTGTGATCCCGGTTACATGCTGGAGGGACCCAGCATCCTCACCTGCTCTGGGCTGGAACACTGGTCCTCTGAGCCTCCTCGCTGTACACGCAGTGATGGTAAAGACACATGATTGTTCAGAAGTCCTCACTGCTCTTCGTAATCCGTATCAGCATGGAGCTGCAGTGTTGTTTGTTTAGTTTTTTTATTGTGTTTTTCACGCACTGTTCATAATTCATACCAACATCCTCAAGGGACGAGTTTGGGACAACTTTGAATAACTTTGATGGTACAATAAAAGATTGTTTTGGGACAGCCTGCCGTTACTGTAGCGTAACCAAAAGTTTTCAGGACAATTTTTTTCTATCAACATTCTGAAATAAAGCAATACAGCACACAGGAGCCTGTAAGTGCCTGTAACGGCACAGCAGTAGTCATATTAGACTGTTTGCACATCAGGGCAACAACACCATTATCGGAGAGTTCTTGCTGTGACATCTCTTTTTGGGGGGTTGAAAAACAACATTGCAGTTTCATATTTGTATCTCCCGTCACTGTATAATTTTTTTTTTTCTTTCCTCGATAGTCTGCCAGCCTCCATATGAGCCAGAGAACGGGGGATACACGTGCCATCCCGCCCCATGTCAAAGACTGTCCCATGGCATTGTCATAGAATTCTTCTGTGAGGAGGGCTATGTTCTGAAGGGAGACTATAAATATCTTACCTGTCAATACGGGGCATGGGACAGCCAAATGAAGCTGAGCTGTGTCATGGAGCAAGGTAAGAAGAAGCCAGTCAGACATTTGAACTATTACGTTGATCATTTTGAGGTCTTTGTGCAAAGAATAAAATTAAATGTTCAATTGCTTCACAGATCCTCATCCAACTTTGCCTTTGGGGATGCCGGCTCTGTCTATAGTGGCATCCACAGCCAGCTCGGTGGCTCTCATCCTGCTGCTAATCGTGCTGTTTGTTCTGGTGCAGCCAAAACTCAAGACTCTTCACCGGTCAGTCTTCTATCTACATCTTTTTCACCCAAATTTGATGTAGGCCTGTGACGGGACAAACAAATGGCCGAATTCAAATTTTCCTCCTTTGCTTTACGCTCAGACGAGATCTGGGGGTGTCCGGGCAGCCGGTGTCAATCATGGTGGAAGGAGTCCAAGTGACTCTGCCCTCCTATGAGGAAGCTGTGAGCAGCGGCGGAGCCACGACGCTCAGCTCTGAGTCTCGAGTCCAGATTGTGCTGTCTGAGGGCCAGCATGCCGCAGCACCAGAGGCCAGCCCGTCCCTGTCCTCCTCCCTCAAACAGCAACAGTCAGAGATGACTCTGGTCCACCCTGTGCTGCCATCCTCATCCTCCTCATCGCCTTCATCTTCCACCTGGGTTCTGGAGCATGGAGGTGCAGCAGGGGGAACCTCATCTTCAAGCAGAAGGCCATCTGCAGTCAGCGACCAGCATAGCCTGTCGTTAGACTCTGAAATGGACTACTCTGATGGTAGGACCTTTTCCCTCTTAACAACCTGTGCTTGTGTAAACAGCTCCCTCTATAACAATGCATGCGTTTGTCTGATGCCTGCAGATATGCCACTGCTGAAGGAGGCCTGAAACGTGTTCCAGCTTTGAGCAACCAGAGACACCCAGCTTTGCTACTGACCTGTGCTGGTGAGCAGGGGATTTTCAACACCGATGAGGCTAACCACTCAAGCTGGGGTTCGTCCTCCTTTGAAAGAGTGGGATTCACATGTACATACATGCTTACATTTTCTAGGCATCCTCACAGTATGTATATTTGTCTAACGTCATCCATAACTCATTTCCTGTTACTTTCTCTAACTCTTAGATTAAGAAACCCACTTACAAAAAAGCATGATGGCCATGAAAGCAGATCATTTAACAAGCTATGAACATTCGCAGCACTGTCTTCAAGGATATTTATCATTTTCAATCACCATTTAATCATGACTCGCACCATTTGATGCATCCCTTTGTTCAATAGGACTGCTTGTCCACCCAAGATGCCCTCTGCCTTCAGCATTTTCATTTACACAGCCATGTTTTCCTTCTTCACACTCCTGCAACCCTTGCCCAAACACCCCCAACCCCAAAAGGCCTTAGCGTTCCACTTCTATGCACAGGTATCTACAGTGTGTGACGTTTTGAAAAAAGAAAGCCGGTTAAACGCCTCCACCGCTTTGTGATGCTTTGTGTGGCTGTGTCAAACACATAACTTGTACAGCAGTAAATAGTACTTTGTTAATTTATTGAGGGCCGGGGAGCTCTTATTTGAAATCTAGACGTGTATGTAATTTATTTGTGCCCATAATGCTGTTGATCAGCCACGGCTTCCTTTGATGCCTCCACAGCTCACAGAAATTATTAAAAGTAGTTTTTTTGTTTTGTTTTTTTCACTTGGCAGTATGGGTTTTATTTCTGCTGTTGGCACGTTATATGTGACACTGTAAAAATTGTTGGGAAGATCCATCACTAAAAAAGATAGTAAGTGTACATATATGTGTAATGTCAGTGTTCACTTTATTTGAGCGTCCATTAAGTTTACTTCTGGACTAAGGAATGTTTGTTTTTTTGCCTTTTATTGTGAAGATGGTATTTTAATATATGTAAAAAGTTTGAGTTTATGTTTAATATGTATATAACAGGATCATTTTCATTAAATCTTATTTGATGTGTTCAAACTGCCTCCGTCTGGCTCCTTCTCTTTCATTTCTCACATCTATGATTGACCTTTCATTTATCCCATTTCTCTTTTCATCAGTTTTCACCCACATCCTGGATGATTCAGAGGAGGAAGTGATGCACCAAAAATCTGTTGCTTTTTACTCTGCTAGTTTATTTTACTGTAGCTTACATCGTCTTTGAGCAAATACAAAATTAAAGTTGGCAGTATTTAGTCAGAGTCACGGATCCATATGTGACAGACTGACATAAACTGGCTCCATCATGGGCTCATCTCCAATAACCCCCTCCAGCTGTGTGTCGTCTGAGGCTGTCACGGCTGTTTCACTTCCTCTTGTTTTACATCAACATAATATTCCATTCTTATATCTGCATGGGAGAAGGTTGATATTAAACCCCTGCTCAATTGAAGCTGGGCTCCAAAACCCAGGAGTGGTAAATGTTTTCCATCGTTTGTGCTCATCTTTCCATTTCTTGTCATCCATGCTCCCCAAAAACTGTTGTTATGCAGCTGTTCCACTTACCCGCAGCTGGCGGCTTTAGTGTTTTGTAACATCTGAAGAATAGGGCCAAGATAATAGCCTCAGTGCACTGGAATGTCATGTATAACAGTGGGAAGAGGAACATGGGTCCGATGACCTGTGGAGAAAAGGCCACCTTCAGAATGGCGGTGCACAGCTGGATGTTTTGACATCCTGTCTCCATGGAGATGGTCCGGCTGAATCTAAAGGAAGGCATTTTTGTATATTATATCTGACACTCAAACATAATCATTTCAACACGTTTTGTTGCAAAATATCTGAGTTAGTGTTTCTATAAATGCTTAAACATTTAGCAAATGCGTTTGAAGTGGTTTGCACAAGATATCTATTTTTTTGCACGTGATTGTATTGTCTTAACTTGTGAAAATATGTATCTGACAATGTGTAACTCTATGTCCTATAAGTCAGCAAATCACATCCACTGAGGAAACAAAGAAGTGACCACGCTCTGTGGTTATGTTGTAACACAAGCATCTGGTTTGTGTTGAAGTGGCCACTTAGCCATAAACTTGCTTGTGAAAAAAAGCTAGAAAAGAAGCGTGCATAGTTTGTTTTCACTTACTGTGGACTCAGTTTGCAAATGGAAGACATGACATATCCCAGCGTAAAGCCAATCAGAGGCATCAGCACAGCCACAGAGAGGATATCGGGCATTAGGATCATCCATATCACATCTTTGACGGCAAAGCTCGACAGGATAACGAGTACGATGGTGGAGACCAGCAGGATGCTGAGGCCAACCTGTCAAAAAAGCAGAGGCTTCTGATAAGGAAAGATTTGTCCGCTCTAGTTAGAGGCTGATTCATCTTCAAAGCATTTCTTTATTGTCCTAAGTTGCAACAGTTATCGTGAGAGCTTCAAGATCTGGTCTAAGTTAGCAGTGAAAGGTCAATGGCTTACTCATAAATTAATCTCCTTAATTTGGACCACAAATTACTGCCTTGGCATGTGGTGAATATCTTTGGTAAACACCTTGCTGAGCAGTAGTCATAGACATTTTGGTCCCATTAAAGCTGGTAGCGGTTTGAAAAGGCCAGATGTTATTGTTAACTGCTTCATTTTCATGTTCCCGGAATTCCACATGCTGCCGGGCAGTCTCAGAGTTCTGTCACGCAATGTCAGATCATCTTCTCTGAAAAGCTTTTATCCCTCTCAGAAGTCTTACTTGTTTTACAGTTGATGCGTAAGCTGGTTTGTAGTGATTGATCAGTATTCCAAAACCACAAGGAACCAGGGTGGACACCAGGGTGGTGATGATGCCGATGTATGGCACAGCGTTTTCCAGCCCACTGAACCACTGACATAAAATGTAGAGGAGCAACGGCATGAGGCCAAATGCGGCAAGGCTGGAGCAAGTTGTCATGACGATACTGAGGGGACAAAAATACAGAAGAAACACAATATGGAAAATAATTCGAATAAGCAAATCAAGGCCCTTGTTGACTGGAAACAGGGATCTGTACGTTTACCTGAGGTTCATGTCCCCTTCCACTAACAAGGAAAAAAGGTTTGATAAGCTTCCACCTGGACAGCAGCCACAGATGAGCACAGTCACAGCTTTTATGGGATCCATCTGTAGGCTTTTTGCCAGGCAGAAAGCTGTCAGTGGCATGATACAGAACTGGGCCAATAATGCAATGGCAACTCCTTTCGGCTTGAGGAGATGGGCTTTGATTTTGGAGATCTCCATCGTACAGCCAATAGAAATCATGGTGATGAAGAGGATGGCAATGGTGAGAATATTCATTGCCATGTTCATGGATGCGGAAATGTTCATGATACCGGTGCGGCTGCCATTCCCAGAGAGGTTTCCATTGTTATAGACGTTGGCTGTTTCCATGTTGCCTGTTGTCCCATTCATCGTGGTAGTTGTTGTATTGTGGTGGTCCTCCCAAAGCTTTTTTTTTCTTTACTGCCTTGTAGCTTTAATCTGTCACAAAAAAATAAATGATTATGTTTTAGAGAGGTTCTGCATTTGTTTATAGGTCAAATTCCGACATCTTCTGGCAAATAAAGAAACTGCACACCAGAGTTCAGCCACAATAGGCACTTAACATTCTTCTCACATCTTTCGACCGGAACAAAACAAGCCAGTGCTTTACACACACTGGAGACAACTTGGTAAGTAAATTCAGCAAGAGCTATTTAATCAATCCTGGATGTAACTTATACAATGCTTATAAATCTGTGTTTACATCTGTATGAACTATTTTCTGCTTCAGACACAGTTCATTCATTGTATATCTAAAACAACTTTAACGAGAACACAATTTATGTTGTGTTTTGTTTTTCCCTCGAAGAAAAAAACGAACACGTCTCTTACTCCTTAAAAAAAGGAACCACTGATGTTATTCACTCAGTAACAGCTCCTTTGTATCCCTGACAGGAGGAGAAAATGTGCCCCTAGCCCTGTTGTTTTCCATTATATAATCCAAAATAACCTGTGAGAGTGAATTAAAAGTTTCCACTCAGGTCTTGTTAACTCTGGATTTTGTGTAAAGCGGAGATTGTAAAGTGAATATGATCAAATTCATGGTAAAATTCCAGCTTTGCTCCCAAAAAATAAATACACATATTTTAAAAAGATAGTCCCTGACAAATTATATCATATCTAATTAATTAATATTCTGTAAGGGATCACTCTCCAGCTGCAAAATCTCTTTAGGTTGTGAAAAGACACTAAACTGGAGGCTTTCAAACATCAGCTTAAAGACAGCTAGGCAGGATGGTGGTTAGGGTCACTTCTCATTTTTTGTATTATGACAACGTCGATTTAGTCTATGTGGACCAGACACTTTAATGCTATAATAGGACAGACATATACTCAGAACAGAGTATGTAGTATTATTAAGCAGTAATCCACTGTTTGCTACATCAAGTGAAACCGATTGAATTCACATCATTAAATATTCTCTGTGATCAATGTTTAGTTTTGTCTGACATGTGTCAAATGTAGGAAAGGTACTTTGATTTTTAAGGATGTTACAATGACTACAAAGGCTTTGCTTTTTCCTTTGCTCAGCATTAGTATAAAGATTCCCTCTCATATCAGCATGACCTGACACAGAATGTGCCGTCATAATAAAACTGATTCTCACAGAATCATATCGTTTCACCACACACTTTCTTTTAAGTTTTTATTTTAGCATCTTTTAAAAAACTGCATTTCTCTATTAAAAATCTCTGAAATCATGTGTCAAAAGGTATTTTCTTACCTTCATGTCGAATCACCAGCTGCTGGCTCAAACAGTGCTCAACCAGACTTTTGCCTCAACGATTGCTCGCATTCCTGTGCCCGAACCCTTTCCTTTGTTTTAGAGCCCCTCCGTCACATGGTGTCTTGACAACATGGTGAATCAAAGGGTGCTGTCTATTTCACAAGACTTCTGCCAAAATTACACTTTGTGAATTGTAAATCTCTCTATATCCAGTTTCAGTTTCTACGTGTCTGGCTTTTCCGTCATTTACTGGAAGTCATCTGCAACTCATTGAGAGCTGCTCTCCCCGAACATTTTCTTTCAGGTCAGCGTGGGAAAGTTTGGCAAAAGTGGGGTTCATTATCTGGGAGTAATGTAATTGGTTCTGTAAATCTGAACAGACAATTCATTCATTAGGCCATGTTAAAACATGTAAACAAACTTTTAATTAAAATTATGCAACACTCAGAAGCATTGAGTATGCTTGTCAGACTTAAGAGGGTGAGATTATTTCATAAATAAATAAAGCAGTAGCTTGTCATTTTTGGATGAAGACGGTCAACAAAAGACAGAATACAAGCTTTAATTAGTCTTAATCCAGGCAGCTTTATTTGCATGTTTTATCCATTCACCACATGATGGTTACAGCATTATGATACTCGAAAATTGCTTTTGACTGGACATGGACAGCTCAAACATTCACGTTTTACAGAGATTACCACTCTTTTAAACAGGTAAATTGTGCAGTTGAATAAGAAGGGAAGTTGATAATCTTTAGAGTGGCTGCCTCCTTTTGTTTTAGATCCATATGGGCTCTAGAATGTCACCATGGCCACAACACCATTGTAAGCAGTGACAAACCATTTGAAAACATGGTTTTCTTTGGATGATTTTCATTGAACTTTTCCATAATTGAGTGCAGCCGGTCTTTTTCTTCGGAACACTTTACCACAGCTTGTCAGGACTAACTCTCCCATGTTAACTAAGAAAGGGAGGGCATAGTTTTAGAGTTGTATTTTCAAACAGCAACTGGAAATAGCAGCTTAGATGCTTTTAAGAGTTTGGATTACACTAATCCACAATCAGATGACACTGACCACTAAACAACAATTGTGCCTAAGGCCAAAGCTGCATGTAGAATGCCAAAGCATTTTAGAAAAGTATCAGCTGTCTTTTATTTATTTTTTCTGGCTGCAAAATCGTTTAAAAGAAAAAAAGGCAGATAGATATTTTGTGAATCAATCTAAGATATAGATTTGTATCTAATTGAGAAGAGCAATGTTTTGAAAACAGGAAAACTCTTGATATTATCAATAGTATTGTGACTTTGGCCAGTTTTTATGTGTTTTTTAAAGTGCAGCTTTCATCACAGCAAGAAATGACAGCATAACTGAAAACATTCTTCATTCACAGAACTGTACTGTTGGATAATTTCCCTCAATAAACAGGTGTCAGAGTATAATGTTTAAGTCTCATCTGTTTATTCGAGTTGAAGTAGCCAAATTATTACTGTTAACACCTAATGTTTTAGGTTCCTTTGAATAAAATAATTATTGTAATTACTGGTGAAAAACGTTTGATGTAAGGTCAATCTATTTAGTGCTGCAAAAAATGAGATTTTTTGCTGCAGAAGATATTTAAACATGTTTTGTAGGCAAATGGATGATTGGTGGGGGAGGGCAGGCCATAAGAGATAGGTCGCCATCTGCTCTCATAATGATATGTTGGAAGAAGTGCAAGGCCCTTGTCGTAGGACACAATCTAGCAATGTTCACATGAACGTCACACGACTGTTGAATAAATTCTAATTTGCATTGAAGATTTATATATATATTTTGCTGCATGTTATTATAATGTGCAACTTTAAGGCAATGCAAATAGTTAATGGTGTTATATCCATAAATATGTCAAATGACAAATTTTACATTAAAATAAACCAAAAGAAGATACGGATAGCCCTGCAGCTGCTGTTTGCAACTTGTAGGAGATAACGTTTTATTTCTATAGGAGCGTCCACGTCTGTTGGGTAATGTAGTTGGAATCTCCCTAGTAACACTGTTGAGAGACGGGCCCTTTCTCACGGCACTACGACATTTCCCAGAAGGCCTCATTTCAATGCGCATGCGCTGTGCTTGTTTTCCCGTCCATGTGTAGGCGAGTCACGTGTAGAGGAACCGTTGGTCGTCATGTCTCTGCTGTAGCAGAGCACCGTGCTATATTGCATTCGCCTCCAGTTGTCGCTGCACATTGTTTTGACAGCTGCCAGTTTTATTTTTTTCTCCTTATTTTTTTTTTTTTACTGAAGAATGAGTGAAAACGATGACATCGAAGTCGACAGCGATGTATGTGTTTCAGTTTCCTTCAGAAGTAGCTAGACATCTTGGTAGCAGACCAACAGCTTAAACATTACTGGCCACCAGAGCTATGAGATTGTGCTAGCGAGCTAGCTACTTGGCTCTCTCGGCTAACGCTAGCCTTTCTGAAACGAATCGGGAGAGTGCTGTCTGAGAATGTAGTTTTTGAGGGCTTGTTTGTCTGAAATAATAAAAGTTCTCGTTAGGGGTTGTGGTGAACGAGCTGCGTCAAAGCTGCTTGACATTAATTGCTCCTCCGGGGCAGCTCATTTCAAGACAACAGCTTGCTTGATAGATTGACAGCTTTGGTTTTCTTTGAGCTGCCCAGTTCGATGAAACTAACTCCAGTCCGTTGCTGAAATGATTAATTAACTCGCAAAAAGACAATTAATGTATATTAATTTTCAAAACGATAAACACCAGCAGAAGAAAAGGCTGTTGCTGCAAACAAGGTCAGCCCATTTGAGAGGCAACCGACGAGTGGTTTGAGCATGTTCCTTATTTGAAAAAACAACTAAATAAACTAAAACTTGACTTATTTTTTTGCGACAAGCAATATGCTTAAGATTAATCGATTATATTGAATAATTTATTTTGTATTTAATGCTTAAATGCTCATTTTTGACGGTCAGTGTAGCTTTATTTGCCGAACGTGTTAGCATGACATGTATATATGCATATATTTGAAAAAAACAAAACGGTGTTACGTTATATGTTTTCCGCGGAAAGTGGACTTCGGTTAAAGTCAGTGGGAGTCCCCCCTCGCGCGCACAGCTAACGCTGGCTCTGAACGCGCGCGACGTGCTGGCAGTGCTCCTAGCACATCTCGTATCGCACGTATCTCCAGACCTCCGTCCGCATAAGCCCCCGTCGGGCTCCACGACAGTGGGGAAAACAACACGCTGCACCCGGGCAGCCGCGTTTTTGCTGTGCCTGTTAGACCAGACCATACCAGGCCCGGGTGCATTTATTTTAGCTCAAAAATAACTGAGAAGTGGCTGGACTGTGCATTCAACTGCTTCCAGTTTGAACGTAAAAATATCGACCTTAGTTTAGTTTAATATTCAGGCTCATGTCAGTGTTTAAGGCTATGTGTGTGTGTGTGTGTGTGTGTGTGTGTGTGTGTGTGTGTGTGTGTAAATGTGTGTGGATAGCTCATGACTTTGATGTTCCAGCACATCATCTGTGCTGATCCAGATTTGGGTGGTTACAGTTATAAAGTGCTATTTTCTTGAAGCACAGAGGCCATGGCATTAAATTGTTGTTTAATTCATTCTAAAGTACTAGGAATACAAATACAACAAGCCGTGTTTCCTCTAGGATTAAAGTGCTTCGTGCTGGATCTACCCATAAGTGTGCCCTGGGGTTTGTGTGTGAAATCAAGGCATGTCCTTAATATCCTCACTTTTTTTGTTTGTAAAGCTATAGATTCCCCTCCCCCATTGGTTTAGGCTTGGATATCCAGCTTCAGACATGCAATCATCCACTGGGTCCGTGAACTTGTTGGCCTGCTGAGCCCACTTTAACTGTTTTTGACAACACTGCCTAAACAAGTAATCCGTGCATTGAACTTGGTAAAGAGGCCGAAGCTGTGCGTTCAATTTACTTCCTGGATATTTTATATGAATACATTAGCTTACGTGTACTGCTTAAATACCACAAAACAAAAAAACTTAAATTAATTCAAATTAATTTGTTGTTTTTTTATCTGAAATGTTTGAATTTACAGTCTATGCAGCTTTTAGACGAGGTAACGATAAAAACTCATGTGTTAAAAGAATTCAGAATGACATTTGTTTGGGAAAGGAGTAGGCCTTTTTGAGGGCCCTACTTTTGCCAATGTCTTGGACTCCATCCTATCTTCTCTCTTATCATATTCAGAATCCTTGCAGCAGCATGTGGTTGATCCAAAGGACATCTTCGAGGCTGGTTTTAGGCATGATATTTTACAGTTAGTGCAGACAGTTTCTCCTCAGCGGAAAACAGGGATATCGCCAGCCAATCAGACGTCTGTTTTTTCTCGCAATGCGGTCCAACCCCTTTGAAGAGCTGAAGCAAACAGAGTTCACATCCTTGTAAACATCAGAGCTGCAGCTCGGGTTCCTGCTGGGTCTGGTTAGGACAATGGGATGAAGGGATGTGCGCTCATCAACCCCTTAAAGCTGCAGATCGCTCCCAAAATCAACAAGAAATGTCCGTCGTCCGGTTGATCCTCGCAGATGCGTTTGGCCCTCTAGGACGTGCCTGTGTTCATGTGTCTTTGTGTTTTTCAGGCAGACAAGCGAGCACATCACAACGCGCTGGAGCGCAAACGCAGGGACCACATTAAAGACAGCTTTCACAGTTTACGAGACTCTGTGCCTTCGTTACAAGGGGAAAAGGTGAGCGAAACATCAGGATGCTGAGAATTTAAGCCTAAGGAGGCTGTGTTTGCTCTCTGCACTGCCACTGTCAGATTTAGGCCTGTAAATGTGTCACCATATCAACACAGATATATGATTATTTTGTTATCAACAGATGACGAGCCAGCAAAGTCATGAATGTGTCAGATGTGTTTACAAATGTTAGCCGTCCAGCACTCTTAAGACCCTGTTAAGACTTTAAAGAGATGAATGCCGTGTTTAGCTGTCAAAAGTGAAGCCGCTACTCAAATGCCTTAAACATGTAACCTGTCTTATTTTGTATCACTCTGTGGAAGAATGACTTCACACTTAAACTCATCAAACATGTTTGATGTTGTCCATTTGCACTTTTTCTTTTTAATGATGCAGTGCCTCACTCATCTGGTAGATCACGGTCCCATTTGGCCTTACTATTCCTTGCTTACCCATGCAGTGGTGTGTTCTTTAGGGTTGTGCCACCTTGTGCTTGACAAATGGCGACCATATAAGGGCATAGGTTGTGTCACATTTTACAGTCTGATTTACGGCTAACCAAACCACAGGATGATGTCACAGTGACTGGGCCGTCTTTTCTTTATTTTTTATTGTTGTTGTTATTGTTTGGACTTCTGATCCAAAGGAGTCCTGTTACCAAAGAAGACGGGGAGCACTTCTGGACCTCTCTCTTTGGGCACTGAACTGCTGGATTAGCAGCAGCCCCTCTTAATAATGCAAAGTAATTCTGAATATGTGAATGAAGTGTCCAAACCGAGCAGATGTATGGGTGCCTGACCATGGAGGAAAAAAACATTTTCCTGCCCCAGTGCCAAAAGCTTTTCTGCAGTCTTAGTGCTGGCACCCCTGCCAAAGGCTGCCCAGCTCTGAAACGGCTCTTTGTGAATAGAACGAGCCCAAAAAATGACCACATACTGTGCTGGCCTCATCTGGGAGCGCGGGGCGCCCCCGTGCCGTCGATTATTCCGTAGAATGACATGTTCTGTGTGAGCCCCGCTGAGGGTTTGACCTTGTTGCTGTTCACCAGGCTTCCCGAGCGCAGATCCTAGACAAAGCCACGGAGTACATCCAGTTCATGAGGAGGAAAAACCATACCCATCAGCAAGACATCGACGATCTGAAGAAGCAGAATGCACAGCTGGAGCAGCAGGGTGAGCGCCGGGGTCAGACACCGAGCCATTCCAGGCCTTCTGTTTTTAATCCTTCACTGACTGTTTTCTGTCTTGCTTCTGCTCCCGGTCAGTGCGAGCGCTCGAGAAGGCCAAGGGGAACAATCAGCTCCAGACAAACTACTCCTCCGACAGCAGCTTGTACACGAACCGCAAAGGCAGCGCGGTGTCGGCCTTCGACGGGGGGTCCGACTCCAGCTCCGAATCGGAGCCGGACGAGCCGCCCAACAGAAAGAAGCTGCGTGTGGAGCCCTGCTAGGCCCGGGGTGTCCCCCAGCTCTGCCCTCCAGACAGACTCGTTTTACCCACCAGCCCCGGCTCCTCTTACCTGCCCGCACCCGCTCCCGCCTTCTTAACGCCTGTTCAGGACCCAAGGGGGAGGCCGCGTAGAGAGGTGCTATTACTGTACATAGAAAACGCTTCTACCTTCCTGTATCCTCCAGGCAAGCGTCCCGTCACTTCTTTTGTGGCCCAACAAGAACTCTGAAGACCCCCAAAGTGAGGCAGCTCTGCAATTTTAAAGGACTTTACGCTTTTCAAACCTCATGGTAACCGTTCATAATCAAATGTAGAGATGGCATGATATGAGGCACCAGTAAAGCTACAAAAGCAACCTTTTCTTTCTTCAGGTTGTTTTGGACAAACTTTGCAATCTGTTGGAGTCATGAAACTTAACATCCTTTGATGAAATGGTAATTAGGGTTAGTCTACCTTTTTAATATTCATATTTTTCCACAGAAGAATGTGAAGTTGCTTTTGGAAATTAAGTCTGGTATGCAAGATGCAATCCTCCTTTTTCAGTGTAGGTGGCTGACATTTTTTGCTTTTGAAATGTTTGTGTAATCAGATGAATTCCTCTATTTATAGTGAAGCACCAAAATTGATTTCGTACCCCTGTATAGTATATTGATATGTCGGATCTCCATTGTGTTTGGCTTGAGAGCAGGCCGACCTCGTATTTTCACAAGTTCAAGTATTTATTTTCCTCTGTTTTTATCCTTAGTAAATGTGGCTGTTAAAAAAGAAAAAACCCTTATTGAAACTGAATGTTACACAATGCAATTAAAGGGCAGTGACTTTTATTTTTCTTAAAGGAAGTCCATTTCAGTGTGTAGTATATAACACTGTATACTCTTAAATGGTGTCGGTTCTGCAAAGAAAAGCCTTCCCTTGAAATATTTGCCTGTGCTGGGAACGTTTATCTTTTCTTTTCTTTTTTTTTCAGAAGTAAATTAGTGTGTATGTAATCGATATTTGTTTGTTCCATTCCATGGAAATTACAGGTATGTTGTACATACTGCCAACGGTTGTCTTGCAAGTTAAGATATACCTTTATTATGAGACTATAAATAAAACTATTTTATCCTTTTTGGATGTAATTGTGTCTCAGTGTGAATTTAATATGATGTTGTGACAGGTGTTACACAATTTTGTTCCATGCATGAACATATGTTGTCTCTGTTGGCTGACATACTGTTAGAGAAAACATATGCATGCATGGCTGGAGTTATTTCCTCATCACTGTTTGTGTTGTGTTGCTGTTTCGTTTTCTGTTCTCAGTTGTCTATCATTTTAAACATAAACAGTCCAGTTGGAGCTCCTCAGATTAAGCCACATTTTACGTCACCTCATAAATGACTAAATTAACATTTTGGAGCTCAATATGTGTCCTGATACTCCAGTTGTAGGAAGCTGCCAGTGCGAGGCTGCAGGTGTTGCGTTTTTGCCTGTGAAAACATCCATAAATGAACCAGAACCTCGGATAAACACGGACCACTCGTGACATAACCAGTTTGGAATATCGTTTCCGTAGAGCAGGAAGTATTTGAGCATACATTAATCCCCCGAGCATAAATAAATGCACTTGCAAAAAGTTTCATTTACTCATTTTATTGCACCGCAACCAGGGTTCCCAGTTTAGAGGTGTTGTTTCCGAGGGACCGTGAAGGCAACGTGGCAGCAGAGCACACACCAGCTGGGAGCTCAATGAAGCAGTCCAATTCGCTTTTATATTTCAGTTTTTGGAGTCATGGCAAAACAGTACGACATTCTGTTCAGGCTGCTCGTTCTCGGAGACTCCGGGGTTGGAAAAACCTGCATGCTGCTCAGGTTCACGGAGGGGGAATTTGATCCTTCCCATATTTCCACCATCGGTAAGAAAGCCATCCAACTAGTTGATAGAGACGCTCGATAACAAATGTGCATGTGTCAGCCACAGCATAAACCGGATCAACATCGGTGTGTTCCAAGCAGGGGACAGAGGCAGGTCTTTAGAATAATGCAATTTATTTCCCCCTTTAAATCCAGATTTTCCAAGTGGGTCTGCTGAGTGAGAGGGATTAGTACTTTCTGCCTCGGATTAATCTAACCTCCTCAAATGTTTATACTGTTAGAATGGCGAAATCAGTCTGGATAAAGCAAATTTAGGAAAACAGGAGGTTTGAAATGTGAAGCTGCTGCTGTCACAAAAAAAAACTTCTGAAGGAAATGTAATCAATTCTTTGAGCAGCGTCATCTTGTATTTTTATCCTCAGAAAACAACTTGTGGATTGATGGGTGCATTAGAGCTCCATATCAGTGCTGCCTCCTTTCCTGATTCTAGGAGGAATGAGTTTGGGGGGGAGTGGTGGGGACTGGTCCATATCTCACTCTGATAGAACAACAAAGTCCTGTTGTATACTTTGGAGCAGAGTGCTGGGTTAGATATTTTGGGACTTTGCAGGATTTCATCAAATTTAACCCAATTAGTTTAATATTCCTTACAAAAATGCATTGCAATCAATAATCCGTACAGTTTTCAGGCCTAAGAATATTCACATAATGTGACATTAGTTACCATTTTAAATGATCAATCTATACCGAAAGCCAGGGAATACTGAAAACCAGGGAAAAAGACATAGTGAACCACAGCTTTTTAGCACTGTAGTTTACTGTCACACATTCTGACATCCCTCTTCGTTACAGTAAGATATGTCAAATCAGATGAGGCAGTCAAAACTCTTTTTTTTGTCGTCTTGGCAAAGCATGAAACACAAAGTGGTGACTAATGATGGTTAACTCAGGGGAAAACCGTGACAGTGAACCAGCATGAGGAACCCTCCCTCCTCGTTGAATGCAGCCATTATTTATTCACCTGTGCATTTCCTGCAATGACGTGTCTGCTTTGAAAAATGTCAACGAGGAAGAAAAGTGACTCGAATGACTTCCAATGGGCCAAAGCTGTTGTTGTCTGACAGGCTGGTTGGAGTGTTTCAGTGTTTTTTTTTAAAGCTAACCCTCTCAGAGGTGCACGCCATGCAGGATGCCTCTCCTGGGAGCTGAAGTCTGTTGCTTTATTACAATGGTGTTCACGTTTTATGGAAGGACTACTATTTGTTAGCTTATGTTATCTCATCCTAATGCCCTGAACATGACAATCAGCTCACCAGACTTCAATGGTTTCCTCAATTACCAGATCGGTTCAGGGTCTCCGTCAATAGAACAACTGATATGGGAATCCATGCAACCGTGATAGTGCTTCTGTAGGCGCCTTTCAGTATCTGTTTGCAATGTAGTTATTCATCTGTCTGTCAGCCCAGATGGAATTAAATGGGCTGTAGTGATAATGTTATCTGTGGATAAATCCAGTAGCAGCTCATTTAGACGGTGAGCATATGCGCAGATGGATTTTTGTAATTGATTTTACATCGTTCATATCTGACTTAGGCGTATGGTACGCCTACACATAAAGGATCCCGTGATCTGAAAAGTGCTGATGTTAAATGCTACAAGTGCCCAGTGTTGAGGGTAGAATGGATTTATTGATTATTACCATCTCAGGTAAAAGAACAGGTGTATTATTTCCATTGTATTCAATTGAATTACTGGCTGACATCCATCAGGCTAGAATTTGAAGGTGTATGCGATGAGGTGGATGGCTCTCTGTCACACAGTCATTATTAATGTTATTATTAGCACCTGTGACAAGAGGAATGGGTAAATGCTAACCCATTTTGCAATCTTTTAAAGCAAAAGCAACCAGAAGAACCAACAACGGCAACCCTAAAAGTCCAGGACAGCGTGTTCCCTTTGTGTGACTCTACATGCGATGTTGCTACCAGCCGTGTACATTGCTTAGTTTCCTTGTATTGTCACCTCGTAGAAATTCCCTCCCCCGTAGTTCACATAGGCTGCACTCACCTCCATTTAAAGGGAGGTGTTACTAAGTGGCTCTTCGCGCTTTTGATCAGAGATAATGGCGTGTCTGAGTCCCAAACTGGCCCATTTTCCGTGTCATTAACAGATTTTTTGGTGTGATCTGCCTTTCTCTCTGATGCATAAAAAGCCTGCAAAGCTACAAAATTCAAGCTCTGCACAAAAGTGTTTCCCTCTTCCAAAGAGAGCACTGTTCCAGAACTTCCTGAAACACGGCAGTGGTAGAACAGGCTTTTCTGGCTTCATCTATGTATTTCCTGTCCATGGTTTAGTTTGTTTTACGCCAAACCGACATTTTGTAGTCTCATCTGTCCTGGATGATCCCATCACAGCTGGACAGTTGTAAAGGAATGCTGTAACACCTGCCTAACCACATAGTAAAAGAGTGTTCACATCTGCTCTGAACGGTCACAGCTTGGGCCTTTAAAAGACACGAGTTCCACCCAAATTCTTTTGACATAAACCAAATGATCGTATTCAGGTTTAGTTCAAAGGCTAAAGTCTGAGTCAGGACACTGCCATGGTTTATAAGTGATAGTACTTTTGCCTTGCAATATCACCCCTTCTGTTTCTTTTTGCTTTAAGTGACATAAAATATTTTTTTTCTGTTTATTTTTTAGGAGTTGACTTTAAGATGAAAACAGTAGAGATAGATGGCATCAAGGTGCGCGTACAGGTCTGGTAGGTGGTCTTACTTTGGGATTTAAAGTTTCTGACACGAGTGCTGTTGTGGTGTATTTTTGCTGATGTGTACTCTGTCGTCTGCACAGGGACACGGCCGGTCAGGAGCGTTACCAGACCATTACCAAACAGTACTACAGACGGGCGCTGGTATGAATAGTGAGGAGCGAACTTTCGCTCATCAAGCCCGGTGCTCATTCTTCAATCCTCCCCTTGTGTCTCCATGTGCAGGGTATCGTGTTTGTGTACGACATCACAAACCAGTCATCCTTCCAGCACATCGCAAAGTGGGCCAGTGATGTGGATGAGGTGAGGTTAGACGCCTTGTCTTTTCACTCGTTTGCATCCCTGCTTATTGAAATGGTCCCGGCTTGCTGCACGCCGTGCGGCTTAGTGTGAAACACAAGATGATGGAATCCTTTATCCCTGATCCGTCTGCATCATAGCTTTTGTTTTTTCTGTAGTATGCGACAGAGAAGGTGCAGATGATCTTGGTTGGAAACAAAGCCGACGATGAGCACAGGAGACAAGTGTCAACAAATCAAGGATGCAAGGTGCACTTTGAACGAATGCTGTGCAAGAACAGCGCTGTTTAGATGAGGTTTTGTGTAATCAAGCAAACCTTTTCCTCGCTGTGTCTTATAGTTGGCTGAATCATACGGGATGGAGTTCTTTGAGACCAGCGCTTCAACAAGCAGCAACATTAATGAGGTAATGCCGCGCCGAGATAAATCAATCATATCATCAGTATTTGCACACTGTAATTTGCATTCTATAATTGATTATCTACTCAATTAATTAGCTCTTGTTTCTCTCTCCTCCCGGCAGGCTTTTACCCGTTTGACGGAACTAGTGCTGCAGGCTCACAAGAGAGACCTGGACAACCTGTTGGGGTCTCTAGATTACTATTTGGACAACGCTGCTCAAGAGGAAGAGGAGAGAGGTCAGGATGCCCAAAGGACTTGTGCCTGTTAAAAACGAGGGGGCGACCTGAAGCTGAAACACATGGTTCAACCTTCCAACCCGTCTTTGAGCCATACAAATTTGACAGGGTGCTGGATTCCTTTCTCGTTTTGGAATAACATGTCTACAGATGCAGTGAGTTCCGGCCGCCAGCAGAGGGAGGCTTTTATGGCCGCAGTGCTGAATCCTGCAGCCAGAAAAACCTGCAGTACCACATATCTGCTATATCAGTTTACTGTTTAGAGACTTGGTCCTTTTACTACTTAATCGGTGCATAAAATTTAACATGGACAAAAAATCAATACATCTTTGCGCTGAGGTGGCAGTGACAAAGGCGACAAAAAAGTCCCCACAGCACAGAGATGAATTATTTAAACTAAGAAACTTGAGCCAAGCTTGGGTGGATCTATTTACTCGGAGGACTTATTTCCTTGAGGATGACAATATTGTGCCATGCTGAGTGATTTATCTGTGGGAATGCAACTATCAAATTTCTTATGTCGAATGTGTATGATTCTTTTATTAATGTGTCTGTGTGTGTTTTCCACTGATCTGCCTCTTTGGTAAAGACAATGGCTGCAGGGTCACGGATGCCTTATAATAAAAATAATGCAAAAACCAAAGTAAGAAAATAAATCCAACTCTATCACCTTTAAATATGATGGTTGCCTGGGCGTTGCTCAGTCACTTTTTTAGATCTAAAGGCGTGAAGTGGGGTGCACTCAGAGTTCACACAGTCGATTCATTCATTTTTCATCACACATTGTCAAATAAAAGGTGATCACTGTTGAATTTTTCATGTCTGAGAAAACGGATACATCATGGAGATGCCAAATAGTGTTCGGCCAATAGAGCACTCTAGCAATGTCCTTAGCATCCTTGGACTATATATCAAGAAGACACTTGGTGTAATTTGCCATTTTTAGAGCAAACACACAGCCTCTCCTGAACATTAAATCTTTGTCTGATTATTGTTCTTCAACAATCTGTTACATCCCTCCTATCTGAAACTAAGCGTGTAGTATGTCAGGCGGATATCGGTTTCTTGTGGGGTTATCTTACACTCGTGAAAGGCAACTTTCTGCTGAGTCAGGTGACCGAGCGGCTACATACAGTCCCAGAGTGAGGTCCCCTCCGGCTTCATCCAGAGTGCCAGCGCAGCAGCCGAGATGACGTTCATCGCCAAGACCTTTTACGACCTGAGGGCCACCTCGCTGGAGGGAGACCCGGTGGACTTCAATGTGTTCAGGGGCCGGGTGGTCCTGATCGAGAACGTGGCCTCGCTCTGAGGCACCACCACCCGGGACTTCAGCGAACTCAACCAGCTGCAGAGCAAGTACCCCCATCGGCTGGTGGTCCTGGGTTTCCCCTGTAACCAGTTTGGATACCAGGTGAGTTCAGCAGTTTGGTGGTGTCTGATGTTTTATCATTCATACAATTTTTTCCATAAAGCATACCTCAACTTGACATTTAGACTCAACTCATCACTTAATGAAAGCAGAAAAGATATGAGTCACAATCCAGTGGTGCCAAATTGTGTGTGCAATGTGTGTCTGTTGCTTTATTTTTAACACTTCCATTAGTTTTTTTAGTAACTCATTAATGGAAAGGATGCACAATATCAATAATATATGGAGAATTAAACAAGAGAGGCTTTTTGAACTCTTGTTGACTTACAAAATCTGTCATCCTGCATAAGTAATTGGTAATACAGCTTTGTTTGGAAATGGGCAATATAAATGCATAATGTATACATGTATATTAGGTATACTCCTTGAGTTCTATAATGGATACACATTGGAAACATGTTCCACGACAACTAAGACTTTTATCTGACGTATATTGAAAAAAAGTGTCCAAAAATTGCTGCTAGGATCAGTCAGCAAAAAACAAGTAAAAAAACATTGGTATCTTCCCAGAGATCCCATTTCCAGCCTCTATAAATGTTTTCATCATTGTGTGTATTTTTCAGGAGAATTGCAACAACGGTGAGATCCTGAATTCCCTGCAGCATGTGCGTCCAGGTCATGGTTTCAAACCTAACTTCCACATATTTGAGAAATGCGACGTCAATGGAGCAAACACACATCCTGTCTTTGCCTACCTGAAAGACAAACTGCCCTATCCTGATGACGATCCCAGCTCCCTCATGCAAGATCCCAAATTCCTCATTTGGACCCCCATCAACAGGACGGATATCTCCTGGAATTTTGAGAAATTCCTCATCGGCCCAGAAGGAGAGCCCTTTAAAAGATACAGCAAAAAATTCCCTACCATTGACATAGAGCCTGACATTCAAAGACTATTGAGATTAACCAAGACCTAAGTATAGCCTCTCCCTTCTAATGGCTTCTCATCCATAAGTGTCAGGGTTGACATGTCCTCATCCACGCTTTTGAGCCTTAATAAATGAAGGTGATATTCTGAAAAGCTGAGCGAATATCATCTGAGGCCTTGTAAGTGCTTAACAGTAGTGGATTAATTAATTATTTGTATATTCCAGCCATGTGGAAATAAGAGAGTGCATTTTTTTAGTAGAATCTGTTAATAAGAGATGCTTATGTAACGTCTCTCTTTATTTCTTGTCTTTTACTCTTCTTGCCAGCAGATGGTGCCACTCATTTAATCATTCAAATGAACGGCTTTATGAATTAAAATTCAACACACACACAATGTTGGCACTGAAATAAAAACTCTAAAATCCACTGTAGTGCTTCTTTAATTGGGCTATATTTATTCCACCAGCCACCATGAAGATGTGCTCCTTCGATACACTGCTGACAGAAATAGATGTCGAGGCAGCTCAGTGTGGGATGAATAACGTGGCTTGAAATACACCATGAAAAATGCGGAATTACTTTAAGCAGCCTTTAAAATAACTCACATTGTGCATCGTGGCCTGCGGTTTCCCCCTTGTGTTCTCCCAAGCCCTTTTTCTAATTTAGACCTTCATTTCCAAGTAAAATGTGCTGATACCAGTGGCCTGTGCAGCTGCAGGAATGCATAACAGCCACAGTGCTGCTGTGGCCATGTCCTAAATCATGTACTTTGGGTGGCATCAGTCTTCCTCCTGTGTGATGCACCCGTTCAGTTTTCGTTTTTGATGGAAAGAGGGCTTTTGTTTGCAGGGTCTGCAGATTAGGGTTGGATTTTCTCCACATCAGCTCATGGTGCCAGAGCCACAGGCAACGCAGTCCCTAATAGATCTTGTAGGCGGCTGCAGGTACTTTGAGGACAAACGCTTAAGTTGCTGACATTTAAGAGCACGTATTCCTACTTAGTGACTCTGGTGATTACAGCCTTACTTGTGGACATTGCAAATCACTATAAAACATTTTTATGATCATGATGCGTGAAGTTGTATGATTAATGTTTTCCCACTCTCCTGCCAGCTTTGCTTCCTTTTAAGAAAGGCAGACATTAGATGTGTAGTCTTGGGGGCCTCTCATGCACATTTGCACTGCTCCCCTCCACAAAACGACCCCCAAGATCATTTACGTTAGAAAGATAGGCCACTAATGTTCAATCTGTGGAACTTGCTTTTAACAGCTTTAAAAATTAGAACAGCTGCTCTATCCCATCAGATGGGAGTTTCTGTAATGTGGAAAGCAAATAGAGACTGGAGGGGCAATTACTGTGATTGCTGTGTATTATGGTCAGTGGGACATTAGTGAACAAGCCTCCTGGAGGTCGGCCCAAGGGTCATAACAACCAAAATCACAAAAAGTTCAAATGACAGAAAAAGTGTTCACAACGATAATAAGAAGTCAAATAAGAAGTCAATGTGGCGCAAAATGGCTACACTTTACAGTACAGACCAACCTTTGAACTGCACGCTTTCCAATTAAACTGGACTTGGGTATTAGGTGCAAATAGCAACTTTCGTACAACCCAGAGAAGGCTGTAGTTTTACCACGAAGTTAAAAAAAAAGAAAAAAGTTGGTTTCCGTGAATCATAATGTATACTTTCAGCGTAGAGTGGGAGCTCCCTGCTTTCACTCTTCTTCGTCTCCCCACCACAGGTGAGCACTGTTGCCACGGCAACGTTTGCTTTCCCGTGAAGCCTTCTCGCGATACTCCGAGGCAGAGAGGGGAGAGAGGGGAGGTTGCCTGAATGATCTCATCTCTCCAGCAGCTGCATACCGCAGCGAGGCAAACCAGTAACTTTCTATCAAACTTCCAAGTTGCCTTTCGGAGGAAGACACGGGAACCATTTCGGTCTCAAACGGGGACAGCACGTTTCCGGCGAAGGGGCGCGAGCGCGCCGCGCAGTTTACGCTTCGGACTATCAGCACCTTGCCACGATTTGTAACAAAAGGGGGGGAAGAAAAACCGTGTTGTGTGACATCCAGGGGGGGGAGAAAAAGGTGAGTCGATAACGTGCTGCTGGTCATGTGCGCGAGGTCGGTGGCTCGGTGTGGGTCCACGCTAACATCTGTGTCATGTCTCTGCTTTGTGGAGACGTCGGTGCGCAGTCACTGCCAGCCTTCTAACTAATGGTGGAAAAATAGGGGGGAAAAAAGTGAGCCCCGTCTATCAACAGAGGGCTGTCAGAATATTCCAATCGGTTGTGTGTCAAGGACACTGTTCCCTGTTGGTGTGGGGGCGACTGGCAGGTGGCACGACTCTAAAAACAGGATGTAATTGTATGGTATGACACCAAAATGAAATTCTTTTCGCGTGGTTTACCCCCGTGTTGTTGCCACGCGAGGAAGCTTAGCAGGCACCAGGTGATTTTTCCTTTAGCCACATCTGTCCTGCTGTTGAGCTCCGTCCAGTCTGCCATCTGGTACAGCAGACCAGGAGGCTGTGATGAGTCTATTAATGTGTATTATAACACAACAGCTTTGTTGAGCTGAAAGATTAAATAAGATCAGAGCGTTATGGGGCCAACAGAAGCTTAGAGTCACCCCTGTATGAGACCCATGGAGGCAACATAAGGGAACAGAAAATATCCAGCAGGTGATTTTATAGCCACCAAACCAGGTACCTGTGCTAACTTTTCAAAGTTGCTTAAATTAGTTTTTTATTTTTGTTTTTTTGAGGAAACGTCAGCTGGAGAGAACAGACAAATCTGAATCAAAGCAGGAGAGTTTGGAGTTTGGTGGCGGACTTATCTTTAGTCAGCAGTGAAAAATGAAACTTTGGAGTTTTGCTTTGGGGCAGGATCAAGCATTTTTAGCATTCCTGATAGGCTTAGCTGACCTGCAACAGCGGGCATGACTGATCATACAGCTCCACTGCTGCCGGCGGCTCACCACTTTTTGGAAAAGTTGTCTTTAAGGGATTTCTTTTTTGGGAATAAGCGCAAACACAGCTGTTGATTACCTTAAGCAACACAATATTCTGTTGCTGCACGGGTTCAAAACAATGACCAATCTGAGCAACAGCAGGTTGAAAGTATTAGTCCAAAGATTTCTGGGAACGCTGTCGGAAAAGATCTGAATGGGAAGGTTGATCCTGCGGCGGCAGGGAGGAATACGGGTCTCCTGGTCCTGATTTATCACCTAAAGACAATGATTCTATTTTCACTTTTTGCATCACATCTCTCACACAACAATTGTTATTGTGGCTCTGTGTCATGTGCCCACATATTCACAGAGGGATGCTTCCTGTTGCTAAGTTGAGCTTGTGTTTCCATTGTCTCCTGTGCATTGGCTGGAAGGGAATAGCTCGAGCAAAGATAAAAGGCGAGCAACAAGAGGAGCTCTGTGCTGCTTTATAATTTGTAACTCTGGAATGCGTGGGCTGCTGTTTCTTAGATTATCTGCGTACTCTTTCAAGTGAAAAGCGGGATTATTTCTGGTGACCTCCGCTTTGCTTCAGAGTGTGTGTGGTGCTGTTTTCACACGGGTGCTGCCTCTTCTTTGCCTTTCAGATCCGTAATGTTGCGTTCTTGCTACTGGGGAGGTGCAGCAACACCTGAGTGGCTGCTGTGAGGCCCCTGGCCTCTCCCACACCCCTCCGCTTACCCATGACACACAGGGGAACAAACTAGACAGGCACGAAGCGGCCCTTGGTGGTCCGCTGTTGCAACATGGCTCGTCTCATCTGCAGGGAGTCGTCTGTGAAAGACACCAGAATGAGTCACGGTGTCATCCCGGCTATTGACTCAACTGAGAGAAACAGCTGAAGTTATCCGACTCTGCCAGCGTGAACAAAACGGGAAGCTCCGTCTGCTCCGGGAGGGAAGCGTCTGACTGACGTTAGTCAGCTCATAGTCAGAGGTCAAATGACTCGTCAGATGTGGCCCGGGGCGGTTTTTGGGGTGTGAGCATCTTTTTGCCGGTCACTGAGGGGGCTGACGGGTTGGAGGGTAATGAGGTGTGACTATGGATCCGCGTTTCCTGCTTGCTAAACCGTTGGAATGTTCTGTCTTTGTCCGGGTCGGACGGTCCGCCGTGCGCTGGCCCACAAAGGAAAGCAGGGGGCTCGGAGCCCACAATGGTGATGATGTAATCCCTTTACAGTGCTATGTCACCCACCGCTAAACGCGAGCTGACAAAGGAAAATTCCCGTCCTCGTCAGCCCACCTGCCACAAAGTTTTGGGGAATTTCAGCCCCGCAGAAATTTCACAGCAATCCGAAGCCTGTAATTATCTGTGCGGGAGATCTGTGCAGAGCGAAGTGACACCAGCTGCTGAGCGCTGGGACAAGTGTAGAGGGCTTCCACCGGCTGAGCTCTGCCCCTGAAAGTCTGTCTGGTCTCCGGTTCGGTGGCCTTTTTACGAAAAAATGTCCATGAACTAAAGCAACCTCCCGCTGGGACTGGTTTCTGTCATCCTGCTTTCATTTCTCAAGCCTAAACCAAAAACCCACAGTCAGGCAGAGTTCGGACGGTGAGTAATTCCCCTTCCGCGCTCCCATCAAACCGCACACGGGCTGGAAATAGAACGAAGGGGGACAGGGATCGGAAAACAGAGGTAAAAAGCCATTAAGAATAATTGCAAACATCCATATTGTTTAAAACAAATGAAAGTAAGGGAAGAGAAGAAGTGTTCCATTTTGAAATCTGGGGTTCTGATGATGATGTGTTTCTGCAGGCTGCCTCCGCTGCCACTCAGTAACGACGTGCGTGGTATTGTCTCGACATGTCTGCCATTTGCTACACTGTCTCCCTTTTTTGGTGTGCAGGCTTTCTCTGGAAGGGATTACAGAACTGAGCTCAGAGAAGAATCAAAACATCAGACTGAGCTGCAGATCCTCGCCTCATGCCGAGCCTGTGTGGGCAGCTTTGGAAAATAAGTCCACTTACAAAAAAAGCCCCCCACCCCCAAAAAAACCCTCCAGATTTTCTTCTGTCCCTCCTGTGGACAGAAATCTGAGAGGGAGGAATGCACGAGGGCTTGGCCGGGGCTGATCTCGACACAGTTCTCGATAAAGAGACAGGTCTGTTCAGCCCGTCCTCATTCCTGTTTCCAACTGTTTTCATTACTTTCCGGAACGGTGTAGTACAACTGCAATGCCAGCAGCTTTAGTCTTGAACCCTTTTCAAGAGCACAGCACAGCAGCTTGAAATTGTCTCGAAAGTGAAAGCATTCTTGTCGCAGTTCGAGTGCCGCTCGCTTTTCTGCGCTTAAACCAGAATAATCCCACTTCAGACGGAGGCAGAATTCCACAGCCTTTGCTTTGGATGGAGGGAATCCATCTCCATTCTGTGAGTTCCTGCTCTGATCTCGGTAAAGCTCACAGGAAGAATAGGAC